AAACACAAATAATGAAAATTGAGATTTTTGAGCAGCAAGGACAGGAAATTTGCATAATTTAAGACAGAAATGTGGAAATGCAAATGATCACTAGCTCTGTTGTTTACTCTCTGCAGAAGATTGGCACGAGGACTCAAGGACTTTCACGATCATTGTCCTATGATAATATCTGTAGTGACTAAGTGGCCTCCAAAATCTCATTAAACCGATCTGTTAGAAAACAACTTAAGAGGTGCTCTAGAAAAATAAATAAAAATAAAAATAATAATAATAAATCACCAACACCCATGAGAAAGGCTTTGAGGCTGGAGGAGCCCTGAGTGCTGAGAGCTATTGGAGTAGCTGACATGTTCCATAACAGCAGCAATATTTACTAGAAAGCTAAAGTTATCATAGCAGGTACACTACTGAAGATGAGATCATGAGAAAGAGAGCTAAGAGAGGGCTAGGAAGAAAGACAGAGAGAGCTTGAGCATTATACAGAGACATGTTGGTATCTCTGTATTGCAGCTCCTTATTGTGCCCATGTTATTTTACTCAAATCTACCTGTTGTATGGATGTCTCTCTAATCTGCCCAGCTCTGTGTATTGTATAGGTGATATATTTGTGCTGTGCCCAGCTCTGTGTATTGTATAGGTGATATATTGCTGTGCCCAGTTCTGTGTATTATATCTAATTTTTTTTATCAGCTCCATTTGTGGTATGGTTATCTCTGTATTAAACTCAGCTCTATGTATTTTATAGCTATCTATATGTTGTGCCCAGTTTGTTTTGTTGTATGTGCATCTCTGTATTATGCTCAGCTATCTGTATTGTATTGGGAGGAGAAAAAAATTTGGGGGAGGAGTATGGCTCTCCACCATCTTAAAACGTCACCAGCTGCCACTGGCCCTAAGGAGCAGAGGCGGCTCTCTAATTAGGCGATTTAGGCGGCCGCCTAAGGCCTCGCGCAGTCAGGGGCCTCGCGGCCGCCTAAATCGCCTGAGGGCAGACTGACATGTCGGGTCCTCGGTCTATGACCGAGGACCCGACACAGGAGGGTGTGAGCTGCAGACTGAGGTGTCTCGCGCTCTCCAGTTACCACGGCAACGCTCTGAACGGAGATCGCGAGACATTCCCCATGTGGTCTGCAGCTCTGCATCCGGCGGAGCTGCAGACCGGAAAGCCCACTGGACCACCAGGGAGCCATCCAGACTGACCCCACTGGACCACCAGGGAAAAAGGTACATTTTGATCACCCCCCCTCACCCTGCACCCCACCTGTCACCCCCCCCACTGCCACCTCACCCTGTCACCCCCCCTCACTGCCACCTC